ACACCGGACGAGGCAGAATCGAAAGCAGATTCACCACCATCAGGTTCGACGATCTAAAATGAGTGACTTTATCGATAGTAAAGCCCGGAACTGAAAGCCTACAGATTTAAGTTTCAACAACAATATTCTATAATCAATACACTCAGAGGTCTTCTGTATATCTGTGTTATTTACAGATATTCAGGTGCTTATTTGGAAGCAAATATTGATATTAAATTACTCGTAATATACTCGTACTATTGAACATAGAAGCATATTTTTCATTTCTGCGTGAAATACATGTGCATGATATGCAAGAAGATGAACGCATTTCAGTACAATTTTTCTCTGAGCAAATAGAAGTTTAGATAGCTTTTCACTGGACGTCCAGCGAATATGCACCTATAAATTAAGCACATAAAAGTGTTTTTTTAATTTCGTTGTTCGTTTTTAAGGTCCGCAGTAAAAAATTAATTAATTTCATTTAAACATGCCCGAGGGCAGCCTGATGATGAAATTATCTGAGACTGTAATCTCAGAATGATTTGAATGATAATAAACTTCCGAATATTTAATGAAAACTCCAAATTGCAAATTACTTCATTCTGATTCTGGGAAACAATTTCAGTCGGAATTGAATTTCCATTCGTAAAATTTCTACTTTCTTTATATTATTAGTTTGGAAATTCGTTAAAAGTAACAATTGTTTGAATTTTCATGTGTTCATTCCATTTCCGTTTATATATATATATATATATCTTATATATAAAATTCTCGTGTCACAGTTTTCGTTTCCATACTCCTCCGAAACGGCTTGAGCGATTCTCATAAAATTTTGTGAGCGTATTGAGTAGGTCTGAGAATCGGCCAACATCTATTTTTCATCCCCCTAAATGTTAGGGGTAGTCCACCCCTGAATTTTGTTTTTTATTTTTTAGACAAAATTTTCAGTTTTTATTTTTTTATGATACAACATACAAAAATACATACAATACTAAATTTTCACCCTTCTACGATCAACCCTTATTTTTTATAGCTGTTTATTTCTTTGGCGGCTTGATGATATTGTTGGCAGGCGATTTCAGGCAGACGTTGCCAGTAATTCCCCGTGGAACGCCTGCAGATGAATTGAATACTTGCCTGATGGCATCACCTTTATATGTTACCGTTATTATGGAATAACGTAAAAACATTATCGCTAACCACTAATATGAGAATTCAACTTCAAAATGATCAAAGTGCTGCACAATTTTCCAAACAATTATTAGCTGTTGGAAATTGAAAAGTCCCAGTTGATGCGACATCTGGATAAATTACTCTTACCAACAACTTTTGCCGATTTGTAGACTCTCAATTAGCTTTTATTGAAGATGTTTTCCAAACATTAGTGAGAATTATCAGAATTATGCTTAGTTAAGTCAACGAACAATTCTTGCAGCAAAGAATAATGATATACACGCACTGAATTTCACCATTCAATCAAAAATTGCAGGCGATTTGGTGACATACAAATCCGTTGATTCCATAACAAATCCCGATGATGTAGTAAACTATCCAACGGAGTTTTTGAACTCTCTGGAGTTACCAGGATTTCCAGCACATAACTTGCAACTCAAAGATGGTACAGTTATTATGATATTGCGTAATTTGAATCCACCGCGACTTTGCAACGGTACTCGACTTTCGGTTAAAAGACATGCCGAATTTGATTGAGGCAACCATTATTAACGGAAAGTACGCAAGTGAAAATGTATGTATTCCTCGAATACCAATGATTCCGACTGATCTTCCGTTTGACTTCAAACGATTGCAATTTCCAGGTCGCCTTGCGTTCGCAATGACAATGAACAAGTCGCAAGGCCAATCGCTTAGTGTTTGCGGGATAAATTTAGAAAATCATTGTTTTTCACATGGGAAGTTATACGTTGCGTGTTCACGAGTTGGGAAACCATCCGCTTTGTTTGTGTTAACGTCAGACCAAAAAACAAAAAATGTGGTTACTTCAATGAAACGGATAATTTGCGGACACGGATATAATTCAGTATTTACTTTTGATTCACTTTCATTTACTTAGAGACGTTCAACTAAATAACACTTCATTTTTGTAATCGAAATGAATTCATTACTGTTGAGAAACGAAATAAAATTTTTCCTTTTCAAATATAAAACTTTTAATCACCAAACGAAATGTTACATAAAACGAAGCCATCTGGTGGCGAAACGGAGTTCGCCGGGTCTGCTAGTATATATATATATATATATATATATATATATATATATATATATATATATATATATATATATATACGTTTATTTAATTATCTTTGGCATTTTACAACAATTTATGAGTTTATAAATGAACAAGAGGGAAGTTATAAGGTCAATCGACCTTCTTCAACCCTAGAAAAGTAAAAAAAATTTTGTTATTATCTGAACAATAGATAATAGAAGTTATTTAATTGAATAAATTCAGAATTTGCGATTTTTATTATTGCGGCTGTGGCCGCCTCTGTTATTGCGTGCCATTCGGTCAGACGTCAGATTTTCAATTCGTCTGAACTTTGATGGTAAAGGAAACCACAGAAAACCCACGTAATGTACAAAAATGTTGAATTACAATATATGAATATAATATATTACAATAGATTTTTGAGACCTGTAATAATTAACCAACACTTTCGGAATTGTCTTTTCGCGAATTTTCGGCACTACTTTAGTTATTAATCTTATTCTAGTTATTAATTAATTGATCTAAAATTATTACATTTTCATAGTATGTTATCCCAATATTACAATTTACAAATTTTTATGGAGTATTCAAATTCTAATTATTTTTGACTTTGAGGAAATATGAATATTTAATATAACCACTATTTATATTGAGATTTTAATTTAAATAACAACAATAATATTCGTTTTTGAATCTCACCGAATCAGTATGGAAATGTCCCCTAGGTATTCCAGGACTTCTTCCGTGGGGTCCATTATCGTGTGGTTAGTTGTGGTTAATTATAGGTTATGATCGAATCAGGGGTGCACACTTTCATCGATATGATCGATATATCTATTCTCCATTGGTGCAACTATATTTGCATGAATGTAGCTTCAAAGTATATCTGGTCTCTTGCTATTCTTGAAAACAAATCATATTTTAATTCTTTCTCAATTTTTAACTTGATCAATGCTGATTTCAGTCTCTAATTTTTCGTTGAAATTTTATTTCAAGGACATGTGTCATTATCTCTAATTTCTCATAATAGTCTGCCAGTTAAAACTACTCCACATAGTTCTCCTATGGCGTTAATTGTAAAATAATACATCTGCAGGAGGCCTACCACCATCTGTCAAAATATATATGATGAATGTCTGTCAGACGTATAATGATTGCCTATAATTGAATTCGTCACGCGATTGTATCATTTATATTGAGAATAATTTTTCATTCTTTCCACGTTTCATTTCTCCCAAACATTAGATATATCTGAGGGTCTTTAATTAACGATCTTTTTGATACTGAACGTGCTGCTTTGAGAAAGGTAGGAGTGTCGAGTGATTTATTCGTAGAAAATGTGTTTTTGATACGTATAATGATGATAATGGTCAGTATTCATTTCCAAAATCGCTTTTCTTACGATTATTTAGTTTTTTAAAAGAGGGCTTTTCAAAATACCCAATGAATAATGAAATACAAAATTTGGTGACTAAAAATATCAATAATAGTATAGTATCAACAATATTAAAAAATGATTGTAATAATAATATAAAACATTATCCAATATAAAGTTGATTGTGAGTTCGCTGATCCCTTGGTGAAACATAATAATAATAACAATAATAAGTTCTTAACATATTAATTATTAACATAAATAACAAAAATGATAGAGATATAACAAAGGGCTCAATCTAATCTAAAAAAAAACTAAAAGAGTAACTAATAACTAAATAATAACATTTAATGAAATATTACAAAGAACGCAATCTAAATCAATTCATTTTTCAAATCAAGTCAATTCCCTTTGTTCACATAACTCCCAATAATAACTTCTATAGAGTCAAGGTGAATGTCACAATTATTGGCAACTCTATGGAATATAGACACGATAAACCGAATGGGGGATTGTATTAGCAAGTATCTAGGTGGAAGAATTCTGTATTATGGGAATTTTGCCTAGGAACACGATATTTCAGAGCGGACAGAGAAGAGGACAATCAATACTATTGTGCAGTAATTTTTACAAAAATTTGAGTGATAAACTTTCTCTCCTACCCTGCAATGAGATTCAACAGAATCGACTCAATAATTTTTTATGATTGACTCCTTTCTGGATAAGCTTTATTAGCCTCAAGATGGCGTTGATGGCAAGTGTAAATAGGATGCCAGATCATGCTGCCATACTCCAACTTGCTACGGATTAGGGTATTAAATAGTCTTATCAATGTTGAGGATTATTAAAAATATTTGCCATTGCGTATAACGAATCCATATATTTTCGAGTCAGATGAAATAAGTTGGGTGATATGTGTAACTAAGGAAAGCTTCTGATCGAAGACTACACCAAGATCTCTCACCTTGTCATAACGAGAAAGAACCTGACACCTTATCACATACAATTCGGTCTTTTTTTTTAAGAAAGAGACAACGTTACACTTTGACACATTCAAACTCAAATAATTGTCCCCACACCAACTAGCAACATGGTCCAGCGCGAGCTGCATAATAATATAATTCTATAATATCAATATTTAAATATTCAATTATTCAACTGAATCTCTGAATCAAAAGTAATAACTAAACAAGCTAACAAGTCTCTCAGAACTCAAACCTGAATAAATCAAGAAATCTCAACGGTTAAGATTGGAAATGATGGAAACAATTGAATCACAGTGGAAATCACAAAAGCTTTATACCTGGTTTTTAGTAGAACATACAAAGCTAAGCGGCGTATAATGTTTGAGTTTGATTATTTGATTGAGTAACTTGGGATTTTTCAAGGTGTAGTATGTGAAATGAAAAATTGTGGCGCCCAACGTGGGGCTCGAACCCACGACTCTGAGATTAATAGTCTAATTGTGTCCCGACTGAGATAGCCAGGCTTATAAATAATAGTAGTAGTAAACTTTATTCAGCACAGCTAATACACTTCACTAAAAAAGACAAATTATATACACAACATCAAACAATATATTTCACCCTTGATATTGTTTTTTACAAAATTATACAATAATTTTTTGAACTCATTATAGATCGCACATAATTTTAGGTTGGGATCTAGACTATCCAATACAATCATTCCGCTCGCACATAAATTATTTAGCCATTTAGATGTACTGTACTTATCAATATAGAAATAATTTTGTTCCCTAGACCTTGTTTGGTAACCATGTACATCTTCAACGTATTTTACACGGTCAACGATATAGCTAGGAACCTTGCGATATTTTATTTTATAAACAAAGTCTACAGTTTTATATACTATATGTTGCCTAATATTCAAACAACTTTTCTAACTGTTTACATCTTTTGATATTTTGAGGCGAGGTGTATATAATACAGTTGAACAAAAATTTATATGTCGTAATATTATCGTATTTTACACTGAATGCGTTGTAAGGACACTAAAATAATTACTAATCCTTGCTAAAAAATTCACTTGTTTTGAAATTTTACCCATAACATATCTAAAATGATTTTTGAAACTCAAATTTTCATCGATAATAACACCTAAATACTTTATTTCACTGACTTGTTTCAATGGTACATTATTAACTTTAATTTGTATATCATACTCTAATCTAGATAGTTTTGCTTTGTTTTCGACAATAATATATTTAGATTTATCAGTATTCAATGAAAGATTGTTATCACATAACCATGTATGCAAACTATAGAGGTCACTATTAATTTTATTAGCTAATTCTTGTGAATTGTTGCCCGCAGTATACAACATCATGTCGTCAGCAAATATAGAAATTTCACAACTCTTTGCATACTTAATTAAGTCGTTTATATATAAAATTAAACATTAACGGCCCTAAAACTGCTCCTTGTGGAATATATATATAGCTTCTATAGAATAATAATATTCAGCTTCTCTTAATCTCTCAAGAACTACGTAAATCTGATCATCTTTATTTGTTTCAGGTATGTTCTACGTCTCTTTTAAGACAGTTAGTGTTCAAAGTTTCCGAAAGAGGTAAGTTCGATTCAATAACGCCAAATCCATCTCATTCCAATCGTGAGTCGCTTCCGTGTTCGTTTCTGCCCGAGAGCGACCAGAGATTGATTCGATTGCAGAATTAATCGACCGTTCGATAAGACTTCGAAACCTTTATCAATATTATGTGGTACTTTCAGACTTTCATTTTGATTCATCGACTTCCCTTCAAGAAAATCGAGAAAGGGAAAGAGAAAAGCTGCTTTTATTTACCATCATAATAGACGCCCTGAATTTAATGAGAAGAGAAAACTGTTCGTCTGCTTTCCGAGACACATTTGGCGATGAAAGATTAATGCTTTTTAATTCTTTCCGCTTTTTCGATGTCCGTTTGAACGAGTGCTTTCTTTCTCATTAAAATCGGCCAAGAAGAGAGTGCTTTTCGGAAAAATACCTGGTAATACTGTAAGAGGATGAATTCGTTGAAAGAAAATTTCCGGCCAACAGTCTTTGTTTTGGTTTTCTTTCGTAGTGGTATTAATATACCTTGAAATAATTGCTTGGAGAATCTACAGAATAAGTGTACCAGATGAAGGAGTTTAGGTCACTTCACCATCACGACATACTTCACTGAATTTATGAAATTCTTCGGGAAATTAGTGGAAATGGATGAAATATGAAGCTAAGAGTTCTGTGCTTAACAAAAGCAGTTTATATGTGGATATGACAGATATAAATTTCATTTCTCAATCGGAATGTTCGAAATATTCTACAAAACTCCATCTTGGAGCGAAACGTTAATTACCTTCTTGATAATCTTTCAAATATATCAATATCATCATAACTTCATATATAAATATGAATATTTTTTTGTTCTTCGATTCAAGAAATCGAAAAAAAAAAGAAACTCTTTCCGTAAAATTTTCATTTCATAATGTGTTTTCCTAATTTTCTCATATGAAAATAGTTGGAGACTGAAAACGAAAGATTTGCTTTTTATTGAAAAGTTTTCAGAAAAAACTAAGACAAGAGATTCATTGAAACAAATAAATTTCAAGCTTATTTTCTTTGATCAAACCTTATCTTATGGTGATACTCAATTCATTTTTACATAATTCCACACAGAAATGACGAAAAAGTCTTGGAAAAATCTGGAATAACTATTTCCACGCGAATTTAAAGCACTGAAATGCGTAGCGAAAAAATACGAACTATAATTTTTGGAGTAATATTGTATACTCTTGATAATGGGTTAACCGTCTTAAGCATATGTAGAGTTTTTGATATATTCAGTGAAACTTCAATATCTTCCAAATTTATTATTAAATTTTTCATCAGATTATGTTGCCTCAAAATATTTTATAAAACTCTCAATATGTCTATTCAGAATAATTAAAATTCAATTCACCTTCAATTATTGAAATTCTCACATTTGGTTGAAATTTCACACAACCTCAAATAACTTCAACTTTTTCATGGTTTTATATATGGAGAACTGATCAATGAACTCCGAAGAAAAAAGGAACAAAATCTTGTTTTATTTTCAATTTTGTGTTCATATTTTTTCAACAATTTCGCAGTATAAACAAAAAATAAAGGACCTCATATTTCTCATCTTCTAATCGTAAATTTTTTTAATGAACTTCTTGGCGAAATAATAAATTTAGAGTGATATAATTATTTCAAATGATTGATGTATCCGAGATTATTATAATAGTAACAAACAAAACATTTAAGATGTAACATATTTATGATTATTTTTGAGCAACAAGCGTCTTGGTTATTTCTTAAGAAATATAATATATGTTTGTTGAATTTCTTATATGGTCTATGGTGATTTTCATTCAACGTTTATTCCGACAAGTGAAATTAGTTCACAAATAAGTACTTAGTCATTAATTGAAAAATGTGATGAATGAGTTCATGAAAATTTTTCACAATTTCATGTGCATTTTCACTTTCAAGTGTATTATTATTTCGATGCTTCAGTTATTTTAAATTATAATGTTAGGTTCAATATGATGACCCTTCAATCGTCTTTCTGATTCCATTAACTGATTATAATCATCTTTATTTATTATTGTAGTTATTATATAGCAAAATGAGTCTATGACTCCTCTAGTACCTATATTTTATATAATATAAACACGGTAAAGTAAAATAAACAAAGCGTCTCTTTTCATCGTCCACCACTTAGCCAGTCTGAGTGTCTATCCGAGTTGATAAATGAATTAATTATAGATTAATATATTCAGTACACCCATTGTCTCGTCGGTTTTGTTATCAATTATAATACAATGTGAAATTGAAGCATAAAGAGGTTAAAAAGTGAACAGTAGTGGTGTTGGTTTCTCCTCCTGTTTGGCGCCAGGAACTTCCTGAATCACTTTAGAATGATCATTTCTCCAATGGCCAGAAGGAAATGAAAATCTGAAATATATTACTTGGCGAACAAAATAGTTCAGACCTTGTTCTTTCGGTGTTTTCCGTAGCAATGAAATTTATTGAGAACTGACACTATACTGGGTGTTTCTAAAGATGTCGGATTCATTGTTGTAGTTCAACTCGGAGATAGAAGTTCTTGAATAGCTGATGAAATTGACCTATTGATGGAGTAGGGATACCATAGAATATTCCCTAGATATTCTCTAGGAGCTTCCCTAGGATATTCTCTGGGATATTCCCTGAGATTCCGTGAGATATTTTCTAGGATATTCCATAAAATATTCTGTAGGATATACCGTAGGATATTATCTAGAATATTACCTAGGATATTCTCTAGGATATTCTCTAGAATATTCTTTAGTATATTCCCTACGATATTCTCTAAGATATTCCCTAGGATATTCTCTAGGATACTTCCTATTCCTATATCCTAGGACTATTGTAATTTTGGAAAAAAAAACAATCCTTCCTCTTTCCACAATAATTACCATTCATATATACTAATTTTTCTGTTCGTGTTCATCACAATGACTCTAATGAAATATTTAAACAATTAAAGACCTTGGAGTAGACATTTTTTGTCTGGTTGTCGTCTTATAATAATAATGATAATAATAATAATAATAATAATACCCAATTAGAGAAGATGATAACATAATATTATTATCACTAGAAATCACTATTTTTGTGTAGTTTGAGCTCCTAGGTTCAACATACAGGATGAATGAATCAAACTTCACTTGTTCAAGGCGGAAGAGGTCTTGAGATGTATTTTTTAATATTAGAATTATGGGAAAATACTTCACCAGAGGTTTATTTGATTGATTTTCCTTCAGCTTCCATGTTCATTTTTTGCGCCGAGAATGTCGAATTCTAAGTCTAAATCAACTCCCGATATTATTTTCCCGTTTCCTATCCGGAAAAGCTGTAATATCCGAAGTCGGCTCTCGAAAATCCCTATTTTCCCCCGATACGGGATGAATTCGCTATTAGGCGAGTAATGATGAAACAGGGGTTCTCCATTTCAGCCCTTATCGCTCTAAGTAATTTAATGAGCGCCACCTATCTACAGGCAACGTCTTGCGTTCCTAACGAATTGCCTTCCCAGATTCCGCGACCCCGTCCTCGGCCACCACTTCTTCTACATAGGCAAATTATAAACTCGAGAGGGTTTTCGCGGGGTAGAAACTCCCGTGGAAACTGTTAAACGGAAATGGTAAGTTTCTTAATGAGTTGAGTTCGATTTAATTAATTTTTTCATTAAGACTTCAACAGTGTCGAGTCAAATACTCCAAGTTTTGGATTTGGAAATTCTTTGGCCTTTTTTGTAAAATACTTGTATATAAAGGGGTTTGAGGAAAATTAACTGCAGAGCTTTGTGAGTATATTAACTTTAAAATGCAAACAAAATGCACAAATTCCAATATGAATGAACCTGATAGTAAACGATATTTTTATATGCCATATTTAAAAGTTCATAAATTCATACAAGTT